TCCTTTAGAAGTTTCCTAAGGCAAGATTAATCTGACTGAGGCAGGCAGGATGAACTACAGAAGCGGGGGGGGGGGGCAGGGGGAATACGTGAGCCGAGGCCAGGCCAAAGGAGGGGACATTCACATCTGGTACTTTTTGTAAGATTCCCTTCCCCTCTCCCAAATTTCCCTCAACCATATATACTGTCTCTGTCCAGGAAAGCAGCTCCCAGCAAACTTGTTTTGCCCACTGGGCTGTGAAAAGCCCCACAGAGGCCTTGGCTCTAGCGACCACAGGTGACAACTTCTACACTTATCTCTTCTTGCTTATCTGTAGCCAAAACTGGTTCTCAGAGAGAATATGATTGTCTGAGCTTACTCCTTAAATCTCATGCTGCCACTTTTGCCCAGAGCAAACTCTTTTCTTTCCCTGCCCAAATGCCTTAGTGCCTGACAACATAAAATTATCAGAAAATAAAAGGCATCAAAAATCCTTTAGAACTCAAAGGAGCTTCTAACCAAATAGAGACACTACAATAGCAACCACTAAAATAGAATAAAAGATGACAGAGTCAGGGATGTTTAAGAGATCATTTTGAAACCAGCGTTAAAGAGAACAGTTCAACACAAAATGACCCGCCTTCACCATTCACAACCTACATAGATAGAACGTAAGACATTGGAAGAAGAGAACTCTGTATTCAATTACAGTTGGTGTAGGATTAGGGGGAGGAGAATGGGATGATGACACTGAGATCTTGGTTAAGAGAATATTAAGGCGGCGGGGGGAAGGTATAGCTCAGTGGTACATTGCATGCTTAGCATGCATGAGGTACCCGGTTCAATCCCCAGTACCACCACTAAAATAAATAAACTAATTATCTCCCCCTCCCCCACAACCAAAGTGAGAATATTAAATCCCTCACATCCAACTATCAGCAAAGAATTCCAGGTGTTTAGGCAGTGAATTTATCATTGTGAACCTGTTTCCGCCACATGCAAAACAGGGATTAAAATAGCACTAACTTGCCTCCTGTAAGGATGAACAGGGCTGAACATTACCCGCATGGCACAGGGAGGACTCAATAAATGGTCAAGTGACATAACTGGTCTATTTCCCATTAGTTTCATTCTAATTTCAAAAATGAGGAGAGCCAGAGGTAGGTGGAAAGCCTGGTTAATAAAAGGCTTTAGTCACTGTCTTACTATAACAATAGTTTACTGGGATTCTGCTTGAAGATAGGCGAGGCCACTGCTAAGAAATGAGGTTTTTGCCTTGCACAGAAAAGATAAAACTGGTGGTGGCCCCACCCAGCACCAGATATTTGCATAGAACTTTGCAGGTTACAGAACAGCAGTGCCAGTGGTAGCCTTGGCTGCCTGCAATCTTTTTTTTAGAAAGATGGGGGAATGCAATATGATCTGTCTTTAAGGAGGTTTCGTGTGGCCAAAGGACTCAAAGCATCATAGAATTTCAGGGCTGGAAAGGACCACAATTTCTGCATGTTATGAGCCTTGAAGTCCAGACCTATCCATTGAGATGAGAAAGTCCAACAACCAGGAACATATGCTCCCCGAAACAAAGACCCCCCACCCTCCCAAGCCCTGCCAGAAGGACAAGGCGGAAAGCCAAGCCAGCAATAGGTGTGACAGCTACTATGCCTGGGGGCCTGCTGTGCTTTCTAGAAGCTAAGCTCCCTGAAGATAGGCGTCTGTGAATCTATGAGTCTGTAAGGCACGAGGGCACTAAAATATTCTAAATGACTTTAAAATTTTTCATTTCATTCTTTCCTCTTAAAAAGCAGCAGTAGAAAATTAAAACCTAAGGTTTCATAACATTCATAGTAAGTCCAAATGTCTCAAACTAAAGTCTTAAATCTTATACACAAGTATAAAGTTGGGGAATAAATGGCTTTCTCCTTCTTAAAAAATAAACCATTCATTTAAGGCAAATCTACAATTAAATGCCCTTTGGTGCTTCTGAACCCATTAATTCATTCAGTAAAAGTTCACTAATGCGAGGCACTGAATAGTGTGGTTCTTCTATTTTAAATTTACAGTATGAATTACATGTCTGGAAATCAAGCCCTCAAAAATTCGAACAGAGGGCATTTTAAGAAGGCTACAGAGATGGGGGAAAGGATAAAGGTCCCATGCAGAAACCTCCCCTGCCCTTTAAGTATGCAACAAAAATCTTTCACAAAAATGTAACTTTAGAAATCTTGGGTTGGTTCCCAATCTTCTTAAAGGGAGCTTCGGTATTTGTGGAGTTTGGTGAATATAACTATACTTCTGGAGGAAATCCAGTTTAAGAAGCATGTAATTATAGACTTTCTTCCTATCTAATAATAAAAGTGCAAAGATAAATAAGTTTTTTCTTATGTAAAAATGCAAAGCTTAAGTAAATACACTAGATTATAAGTGAGGGAAAAAAACGAAAATATCAGCTAAAACTCTTAAAACAGGAATGAAAAATACTTGAATTCTCAGCAAGATATGAGGCATTTCAAATTGCCATCTGCTAATATCACAGCTCGAAAAACTAACCGGCAAATTTAAATGCAGAGAATCAGGTGCAGTGAGGCCTTGGGGAGCATGGAATCCAGGACGACCAAAGTTTGCCAACAGGCTTTGCAAAATTGTCAAGTCCACCCAGTGAATAGGGACAGAAAATCCTAGTGACTCCAAAAGTTCCACATACATGGGATTTCAAATACTCACGTTCCCACCTCACTGCTGGTTACACCAAAGTCCAAAGAGAAAGGAGGGAGAAGCAGGAGGGCTCAGGAATGTGCCGAGACGGGGACCCGAGGAGAACTGGCTGGAAAGGCCCTTTCTTGGAGCCCCGCAGCCGTCAGCATTTACTCACTGAACGTGGACAAGTGGCGAGACCTTCCAGTGGGATGCCAGACGGGGAAGCCCTTCTCCAGCTACTCAGCTCAGCTCCCTCATTAAATTCAGAGTGAAACCAGCTGCCGGGAAAGGCAGAGGGTGACCCCGCCAAGGCTCTGGAAATTCCTTGCCAAGAAAGTAGACGGAGTGCCCAGATCAGTGCTGGAAGGGAGATTTCAAGCCCTTGTAGGGAAGATAAGGAAATCATTCTGAGAGGGTTGCTCTGCTCCTGGCTGAGAATAAAGTGTGGTCCCTCTGTAGGATGTGTTGAGTCCACATTCCAGTCCCCTTGGCCCCAGTGCCATCATAGAGGGAGGACGGATGGAGGAAGATGGAGGAGGAAGGACAAGGAGTCCCCAAAGACCAGTGAGACGGTGCGAATGAACACACCAGCCCAGACAGCATTTCAACAGGGGGAAGAAAACAGATCAGCTCTTTACAAGAATTATTTAAATTACATAGACAGAAATACATACAAAATTCTTCACGAAACAAAAGGGTTTGTTTGTTTACTACTTGGTGTTTTTATTTCTTGGTCCTTGCAGCCTTTTTTTCCCCCCACAATTGAAGTAGAGTTGATTTACAATATAGTGTTAGCTTTAGGTGTACAGCTTAGTGATTCAGTTATATATGTGTGTGTGTGTGTGTGTGTGTGTGTGTATGCATATTTTTTCAGATTATTTCCCATTATAGGTTATTACAAAATATTGAATAGTTCCCTGTGCTATACAATAGGTCCTTGTCGCTTATCTATTTTATGTAGAGTAGTCTGTATCTCTCAAACTCCTAATTTATTCCTCCCCTACTCCCCTTCCCCTTTGGTAACTAAGTTTGTTTTCTACTTCTGTGAGTGTTTCTATTCTGTATGCAGAATCATTTGTATTATTTTTCAAATTCCACATATAAGCAATATATAATATTTGTCTTCCTAAACAGAGGTTAAGTTTTATTTAAATCTTATTTAATTCGTTTCTTCTATCACTGGAATCTACACAGATGACATTAAGAAATTATATTCAAATACAGCTATGTTATGTGAAATCATTTTAAAGTCAAAGAAATTTTATGATAATCAAAAGGATAGTTTCTCTTATGTCCCAATTTTTTCCCCTTAAAGATAAAGATGTATCTTTAATACAGAGTATGGTGAGACACAAACTGACATCTTTTGGCTTTAATTTCATTATTTAAAAGCCAAAAATGCTGCTTTGTGTAACTACGTGGTTGGAAGCCCCTGGTAAAACCATCATTATTTTTTTGTGGAGAACTGCCTATTCTCTTTATTTTTACCCCTAAATAAATTATATTTATGTTTGGGTCTCTCTCTTTACCCCTTCTCACCCAAATTCAGTCCTTTCCTCCAAACTTACTTTTATACATTCACAAGTGACTTGACAATGATTTTCTCAAGTGTTAAGTTTTCTTCTTATGGACACTGAGAAAGTATTTTAAAGTCTGACTGGCAGTGCTATTCCTAGTCAACTCGACGCACTGGAAGACTCAGAAAAGAGAAGGAGGCATTTAAAAAATTATTCCCATATGTGCCTTTCAACCGAATTCTTAACCTGCACTTTAGTTTTCATTATAAATTTCAATTCTCTGAATTTAGAAGTATTTTCAATTTTGATAACAACTAAAAAAATCTCTGCAAAATCTTCCCACTCTACCAGAGGGTCTCAAAAATGGCCAAACACTAATAAAGAGGGGAGGCACCTGTTTAAAATGCCGATTGCAGGTTCTGGTCCTAAATACGCTGTCTGAGAAGTTCAAGGAGGCCCTAGAACCTGCATTTCTGGTGGATAAGGTTTCAGGCCATACCTTCAGAAACAATGGTCAGTGTGACCAAGTTACTGCAGCACCAAGTTACTAGACGTCCATAGCTCACCCACAATGCTTTAAAACTGGAAAGCATCATGAATTTATTGCATCCCTTTGAACATAATTTATAATTTGTACTGATTGTGTTAGAATTTCACTGAAGCAGGGAGACAGTTTTTTTCTGTTTTTCCTGCAGAATGTTCACAGTGAATGAAACCATGTGCAAATGGAATTGCACTTGCAGGGCCTGCCATTTGCCAGCAGTCTGGCACAGGGTTTCCAAGTGAGGGCTGTACTAGGAGGACACTCACCCAGTAGCTTCAATATTCCTCAGCTGGATGTTTGAGGACGTACAGAATTCAAAATGTACCCGAAATTTAGGACGATTTCATATCATAATCCACAAAATGACTATAATCTGAAAAAAAAAAGATAAATTTTGACACATCTGTTGATACCATCTAGAGAGCAAATGTTTATTTTTTAATTAGGCTTTGATTTCTAATAATCCACTGATATTTTATCCTATCACAACATGGTAAGGAAAAAGTTTATATTTTATATCAGACTCAAACTCTCAACTTCTAATGTGTTTCCACTAAATAGAGTCTTATTAATTATTCAGCAAAGTTTCTTGAAGAAAGCAGCTGGAAAAGCAATTAAAATTAAAAAATTCCAACGTGGTGGTTCAAGTATTACACTTTGAGAAGAATCCCTTGTTCATTTTATTTAAGGAGTATAATTTTTTTAGACTTAAAAAAATAGATCAAACCTGGTAAGACATTTTTTAAAGCAGGAAAAAAATTAAAGCACAGAACTAGACATCCGAAAATTAAAGAAAAAGATCCAGAACGTCAGCACCCTAACACAACCTCTCAACCTGTAGGACCAAACTGCCACAAATGTCACTCCTACCCTGGTGAACTTGTTTCTGATCCTGGTAACTGTGAAGCATTCAGAATTATACCACTCTGCACCACGCAAACTTTAATTTGGGGGTGGGAGACACATACTCAAGTTCTGCTTCCCATTTCTTTTGAAAGGTAGCCAAATCTGATCTTTTCCTCCCTAGCAATAAATGAAATACAATGAATATCATCATCAAGAGCCCGGCTCTTACGCACAGACACTGTGCTTAGCACGTTACATACAATGTCTCATTTAGTCCCAGTAACCTAATGATACATGGACGGCTGCTATCAGTTTAGAAAGGAGGGAGGCGGTGGCTCAGCCGCTTCTCTGGGGCACATGACCAGTATGTGGTGGAACTGTGACAGAAAACCCGACCTGACCTTAAATCCCAGGCTATTAACTGCTTCTTCATTCTACAGAGATGCGTCTTGCATCACAATGCACTGCCTACACCACTCTGCTCATTTAAGAAAACCCTATTTTGTTTTTATGGTGATGAGGAGAATGTGCTCAACAGAGCATCCGCAGAATTACCCAGCCTTTCTGGAGCGTCTGCTTAGTCCACACACACTGCCCGGTACTACCTGCAGAGATGAGCGTGATTGCTGCCCTTGAGCAGCTCACAATCCAAGCCATGGAGGGGGCTTAAAAGCAGGACAGTGTTTTGGGTTGTTTTTTCCTTAAGCCACGTGATGCTTGGTCATCGTCCACTGCTGGCTGCTGAGAGTGTGACAGTGAACAGAAGCTCAGATGGAGGCCCGTGAGCAGGTACAAGTGGCCTCTTTGGGCCATGACATGAACTGAGAGCTGGCTGAGGACTCCTCACCTTGTTCACTCTGAGCCTTTCATGGCACAAATTCCAAAACTAGAGTTGTTTGGTTCCACAAATGGAGACATTAAAGGGGAAACATTAAAACCAAGTTTTGGAAGATTTGGAAAAAAAAAATTTAAGCCTGTTCATAGTCATCTGCCACAGTCACCCGCCAATCCTAAGCCCAGCTGTTTACTCCCTTGACTTGACTCTGCTCAATTCAAGCAGCAAAGATATCCCAAGCTGCTGTAAACACGCAGCTCTTTTTAGCTCTGGCACGAACGCTGGAGAGGAGCTGGAAGGAGTTTCTTTGGTCAGGCTGGGGCTACAGCCTTAACAGAGAGGCAGTCAGTATTCCCCAGGGTCCAGCAAAGCAGGGACAGGTAATCAGGTAGGAGAAGCCTAAGGAAACGGGTTAGTGTAGGTGGCCTGTGGTCATGAATGTCCCCTTTTCCTTCTATCACTAACCCTTGGCAATTCCATGCCTTTCTTTAAAGTGAAGCCTGTTGCCTCTACTCATTTTCCCTCAGAGGCAGGGTGATTAAGAATGTAGGCTCAATTTAACAATGATCAGTTCCACTTACTAGCTTGTGACCTTGGGCAAGTCACCTCGGTTCCTCATCTGTAAAACAGAGTACGTGGCTACTGCAAGGCTCGGTGGGGGGATGCAGGTAAAGCACTGGGCACAAAGGCGAGCATGGTGCAAGTCCCTGATAAATGCAGGGCACCTACTGTCCACTCTGTCTCACTCATGTGACAGCTCCTGTATCGTTTACTATTCTATAAGCAAGAGGGGGAAGTGAGTACTTTATGCATGCTGAGGTTTTCTCTGCTCTTTGCAGGATGGTCAATAAACATTTTGAGTTTTTGGTTTTTGTTTCATCTAATGATGAGGAACCTTTTAAAACTCCCAGAAGTAAGAGACTCTCATATACTTACTTGGAACTATCTCAGTACCTTACATAGTGGAAAACATTCAATAAAAATAATCGTTGGGTCGATTTTGTTATAAAGGATCTTAGGATCTTTAGAAATAATCTTCACTGTATTAGATGAGAAAACAGTTCAGGTGGGAAAGGAGAAGGCTGCCCACAAACTCAGAGTGAGCTTGGGACCTAGACAGGATTGAAACGGGAGCTTTTAACTCCCAATCCAGCACTTCCCCCCAAAGAAGGCTGCCCTGAATTGAGACACAGCTGACTGGCTTTACCTTTCCACAGACCAAATCGTAAGGAGAATGTCATGCTACTGTCACATCTCAAGGCAAGCAAATTTCTTCATTTGCTGCAAATATTTTTTCCTGAATTTTCACATGGTTCCCTAGACATAGTGAAGGGGCAATTACTCTTTTGTTGATTTGATTTTACATAAAAAGGCAAATGATACTGTGAAACAGATCCTCACTATGAAAAATTCTACATGCTCACTTTCCGTATACAAAGAAACAATGGAAAGTTCTATAGAATGAAATACACTGGTTGCTATATCATCTGAATGTTGTATGTCCCTCCTCCCTGCCCCCGACAAACTCTTACTTTGAAAACCTAATACCCAAGGTGACAGTATTAAGAGGTGGGTCCTCTGGGAGGCAGAGCCCTCGTGACTGGGTTTGAGGTCCTTATAAACGAGGTCCAGAGAGCACGCTCACCCTTCCACCATGTGAGGCTGTGACAAGAAATCCGCGACCTGGAAGACAGCCCTCACCAGAACATGACCATGCTGGCTCCTTGACCCTGAAGTTCCCAGTCCCCAGAACTGTTAAGTAAGCTTCGGTTGTTTATAAGCCACCCGGTCTGTGGTATTTCATTACAGCAGCCTAAAAAGTCTAAGAAGTTCATTTTTTTTTAAGGAATGAGAAATATGAGATGAAATATACCAGCATCCGCAGCATAATTAATCCTTCCATGGGCCAGAAGTCATCCAGAGAGCCTCGTCCTGAGCACCAGCGGTCACGGTTCTGTGCTATGCCACACATCCCAGACTATTAGGGCAGCCCTGGATTTTGTCTTTGTACCAATAAACAATGGAAAATTCCCTCCAAATGCCGGTTTTCCAGAAACTAGTAACTGAATAAATCAATTCAGTAAGCATTTTAAGTAAAAACAAAACAGACTAAAAACGCATAAAGGGAAGGCCCACGGGCCTACCCCCAGAAGCATCTCCACATGAAACAGAACTTAACATATCTGTATGGCTGCAATGGGACGCATGTTGGTAAAGGCCCCCATGTGGAGCCAACGTGATGGCAGACAGCCCGAGCAGCAATGCAGAGTCTGCCACCAGAATCTTTAATTACCCATTTTCACAAGAGAGAAGCAAATGGCAAGGAGGATCACAGATTTCTTTAAAAGAATTTTCCAGATATATTCTGAAGTCAGCAAACACTGAACTCAAACAACAAAGTCCTACTGTACAGCACAGGGAATTACATTCAATATCTAGTCATTTCACCTATAATGAGAAAGAATATAAAAGAGAATATACATACATATAACTGAATCACCATGCTGTATACCAGAAACTAATATAACATTGTAAACCAACTAAGCTTCAATTAAAAAAATAAAAGAAGTAAAACACTAAACTCAAATTCCTACACCTTATATTATCAGATGGAATCGTATCAGATGGCCTTTTTAAAGTCAAAAATAGTCAAATGGAGTAGCTCATTGTTCAACACATGGCATTGTGCGGGAACATGCAACCTCGGTCATCAAAGACCGCTTCAAGCCTGGTTTCAGGGAAATTATTTCATAATGATTTTCTTCAGTGAGTTCTGGGTGGAAAAAGCAGGGAGATGTGGGGTTAACAACTAGGTTACCAAAACTCCACGAACTAGAACTCCTAATTTTCTAAGCATTCCTATTAAAGCTTTACTGAAGAATAATTTATGAGATGTCTGTGGCATGTTGTGAAAGAAAATATGTCTGACATTTAAGACTACTTTAAAACATCTCTCTTGTAAGAAGAGCTGGAGGTGTGGCAGGTTTGGGCCTGGCTCGTGCCTTGGGGGGGACTGAAATTCTTAGCAGTTTGGGGCAGGAACCTGGCGCTGCATCAAAGCTCGGAGGCCCAGGCGGGCTCTCCACACACCCCAAGGTGCTATGGGGCATCTCTGTTCCTATCTGGGGCCTCAGCACTGTTTGCCCTTCAAGGTTCCCTGCTGCCTAAGGAAACATGAGAAATATTTCCGTAAAGGACCGCTGTGTGGAAGCAACAGGAAATAAAGGTTTACTCCAGTGACTCCCCGCTACTAACGGGGCGGAGGTCGCATCTGAGAATCACGGTTTTCCAGGCGACTTGTTATTTTTACCAGATGTTTTCCAAGGCGGGTCCTGTGCACAGTACTGGAGAGGTGTTTTTGTTTTCTGGAATAAAGGGGACTTGACCATAAGCTATATTCCAATTGAGCATTAAAAGCCAACCCAAATTCAAAGCGACCTGGGGGGAAGTAACCTCCTCAGAGACATGACTTTTAAATTTTCTTAGGGCATAAGAGAAATTAGGCAGCCATATCCTCTGAAAAATCAGTTCTTAGAGAACATTCGACCCTTATCTTCTAACAAAGGTTATTAGGCTAGAGAGACTTCACTGGACCAGTGTGGCCCTCAGATAAAAACAGGAGTCAGAGGCACCCTGAGATCCCATCATGACAGCTCTTTCTTCTCCCAACTGCTTGCCCACCTCCCACCACC